TAGTGATGGACAAAATAATCTTGGTTACTGTTATAGAAATGGGATTGGAACAACAAAAGATGAAGAGAAAGCATTTCGGTGGTACCTGAAATCAGCTGAAGGTGGAAATGGCGATGGGCAATCTAATATTGGGTATTGTTATGAAAATGGAATTGGAACAACAAAAGATGAAGGGAAAGCATTTAAGTGGTACATGAAATCAGCTGAAGGGGGAAACATTACAGGACAGAATAGTCTAGGTTATTGTTATCAACATGCAATTGGAACAACAAAAGATGAGAAGAAAGCATTTCAATGGTATTTGAAATCAGCTGAAGGTGGAAATAGTGATGGGCAAACTAGTCTTGGACATTGTTATCAACATGGGATTGGAACAACAAAAGATAAAAAGAAAGCATTTCATTGGTACTTGAATTCAGCTGAAGGGGGAAATATCATTGCACAATATAATCTTGGATATTGTTATCAACATGGGATTGGAACAACAAAAAGTGAAAAGAAAGCATTTCAGTGGTACATGAAATCAGCTGAAGGAGAAAACATTACAGGACAGAATAGTCTTGGTTATTGTTATGAAAATGGGATTGGAACAACAAAAGATGAAAAGAAAGCGTTTCAATGGTACTTGAAATCAGTTGAAGGTGGAAATAGTGATGGGCAATATAATCTTGGTTATTGTTATCAATATGGGATAGGAACAACAAAAGATGAAAAAAAATCATTTCGGTGGTACTTTAAATCAGCTGAAGGGGGAAATAGTGATGGACAAAATAATCTTGGTTACTGTTATAGAAATGGGATTGGAACAACAAAAGATGAAGAGAAAGCATTTCAATGGTACTTGAAATCAGCTGAAGATGGAAATGGGGATGGGCAAACTAATCTTGGATATTGTTATGAAAATGGGATTGGAACAACAAAAGATGAAAGAAAAGCATTTCAGTGGTACATGAAATCAGCTGAAGGGGAAAACGTTGCAGGTCAGAATAGTCGTGGTTATTGTTATCAATAAGGATGTAATGTCCCGGTCCTGGAGCAAAGACGGACCGGACCTGGTCCTGTAAGACTGGTCCCAGGACCAGTTCAGGTCCTGGTCTTTTATATAAGTTTTTTGACAGCAGAATCATAATGTAATAAATTTTTCGGGTAATGGCATAATCTGATATTGTAGCTTTTCCTTTTGTGCCTTTACAAAATAATTATTAATTAATAATAATAAATTATCAATTTAAATAATTATATTTTAAAACTGTAATTAAATTCTTGTTCTTATAATTTGATTTCCTAAACGATCTTTTCTCTTTTCACGTAATTTCTCCAAATTTATTTCATATTCAATAAATTTCAACAAATCTTTTTCTTGAGTTGATCTTCTTTTCAACGCGTACTCAAATTTGATTTTTTTTTTATAATATCTTTAATTCTTTCTAAATATATACACAAATACATCAGCAAATTTTAATAGGCGTTGACCTCCGAAGGATTTTCTAGCGGAGGCCTTCGGAGGATTTTTTACGTTTTTTGACTTCGCTCGCGATTTATAAGGCATAGAGCGATTTTCTACTAAGATTTTTCTAAGATAGAAAGAAAGGCCTTGTTCTGGCTACATAATAATATGTGTTTCATCCCGGTAGAATTGATATTCGCGGAGTTATTCTTGTTTAAAAAAAAGCTTCCGTGAAAAAATCGTGCAAATAATTATGTGCATAATTTTTTTGCGGATGTTTTTCTTTAAACTAGAATAACACCGCGAATGTCAATGATCCCGGAATGAAAAATTATGGTTTTCTAGCCAAGAACAAGATCTTTCTTTCTATTTTAGAAATACTTTAGTAGAAAATCGCTCTACGTTTTATAAATCGCGAGCGAATTCAAAAAAAGTTCAAAAAAACGCAAAAATTTCCGGTGATTTTCAAGTTTTTCGAATTGGCTCGCAATTTGCGGGGCTTAGAGCGATGTTCTACTAAGATATTTTTAAGATGGAAAGAAAGGTATTGTTCTTCAATACAAGTAATAAGTTTTCATTCTGATAATATCGGTCGTCGCGGAGTTATTACGATTTTTTTACGGACGTTTTTTCTATACTTGAATAACTCTGCGAATATCGATGAAACGCATATCCTTTGTAGCCAAGAACAAGGTAGTTCTTTATATATTAGAAATATATTGGTCGAAAATCGCTCTACGCTTCGCAAATCGCGAGCGAATTCGAAAAAACTTTAAAAATCCGGAAATTTTTGCGTTTTTTTTACGTTTTTTCGAATTCGTTCGCGATTTATAAAATGTAGAGCGATTTTCTACTAAAGTATTTCTAAGATAGAAAGAAAGATCTTGTCCTTGACTAGAAAATGATATTTGTTTCATTCCGGTAGCATTGACATTTACGGAGCTATTCTAGTTTAAAGATAAGCATTCGTAAAAAAAATCGTGCACCAAATTTTTTGCACGATTTTTTTCACGGACGCTTTTCTTTAAACGTGAATAATTCCGCGAATATCAATTCTAACGAGATGAAACACATGATATTGTGTAGCCAAGAACAAGGCATTTCTTTCTATATTAGAAACACCTTAGTAGAAAATCGCTCTACATTTTATAAATCGTGAGCGAATTCGAAAAAACGTAAAAAATCCTCCGAAAGAAACGAAAATCCTTCGGAGGCCAACGCCTATTAAAATTTACTGATGTATATATACACATTTATTAATGATTTATTATCAACTCAACATCAAGAATAGTTTGAAATTAGAATTGTGCCAATTGAGTTGAAATACTGAGAATTTATAAAGTACCTTCTTAATAAATCCTTCTTTTCCAAATCCTTGAGTTCAGGTATCATTTGTTCAAGGTTAAATCTGCCACTTTTGATTACTATGCGGTATGCAAAAAATTATATCATTAAAATAATAAAAAAATAAAAAATATGAAAGGTAAGTATATTATTTCTTTTTTTTTAGTACTTCCACTTAAACTAACTAATTTTGAAGAGTATATTTTTTTTCAGAAAAGAAACAAGAGTTCAGGGTTAGGGGCGTTTTTTTTATTCAAATTTTTAATGTTTGTATTAAATCAATTGATTTTTTTCATAAATTTATTTATTTTATATTATTATAAGAGCTTAAGTGCAGGTGTTCTTATTTACATATTCATTTAGTTCCTAGATTTTTGTGTCTAGTTAATAGTAAGTAATTAATAGATTTTTTGAATTTATTTTATATTATGTCATGAATGTACTAAATTCACCAATACTACTGTTATATCTTTCTTTTAATTTTTCATATTCAACAATAACATTGGGATCAGTTTGATTGAATTTTTGTTAAATGATGTAATTTCTAAATTGTCCCATGATGTAGCTCTACTTAAGGCTACATATGCTTGTCCATTTGCAAATATTATTTCATCTAAAGATACTGTTATATGAGGAAGTATTAGTCCTTGAGTTTTGTGCACTGTTAATGCAAATGCATTTTGAAGTGGAAATTGGTAATGATGTGAAGGAATTCCATTTACTTTGAAATAGTTGGTTTCTTTTGTTACTAATACATTAGCAATACCCACTTTTAATGGAAAAGCTACTTGAATTGTATCATTATTAATAACTTTCAAGACTACACCTATGGAACCATTGGATAATCCTTTAGTAAATAATGAATTATTAAGAAATATTACCCTCATACCTTCTTTAAGAATTATTTTTGTTGGAAAGTTTGTATAGTGACAAAATAATTTATCTGTTTCAGTAGGTGTCATCTGAGTATTACTCATATAATCAATTGCTATTGATTCATATGGACTTTCATGTTCATTAACTGATGGAAGATAATTTCCAATTATATCATTAATGTGGATACTATATTTCTATATCCAATAATATGAGTAGTATCCAATACATTATCCGTAAAATTATATTTGTGAATTTTTTGTTGTATTTATTAATGATATCTTCAGTAATATTTCCTATTCTAATTTTTTCAAGCATTTGATAAAATGATTTACCTTTTTGCTGGTGATGAGCAGTAGTTAAAAATAATGGAAAAAAAATTTGTCCATAAATGTGAACAAAAGATTAAATCACCTTGAACGGGTGGTAATTGAAAAAGATCTCCAATAAGAAGAACAGGAACTCCACCAAACTCTAAGTAATTTTTTTAATACAGCCAAATAGAATACTAAGAAATGTTAACATTTGAGCTGCAACCATAGAAGCTTCGTCTATTATTATATATTTCACTTTTGATCATTATAGACAAGTGATTGAAGATTATAAATGTTTCCTGAAATTCGTAATTCAGAATGAATTGTTTTGTCATCAATATTCTGAGCTGCTACGCCTGTTGGTACATCAAAAGATAATTTTCACCTTTTGATTTTAGAAATTTTACAATAAGTTGAATGATATGTGATTTTCCATTTCCTGCTGAACCTGCTACAAAAAAAATAATGTGATATTTTGATCCCAACAGGTAGTAAGAATATTATATATATGATATTGGTCAGGGGTAAATTAGTGTTTCATTATTTGAAAAAAATGATATTGATGGAATAAGTTTTGTTAATTGTTTGCCAATTATTGTCATTACATCTTGTTGTAATACTATTAATAATGAGTCAATTAAATTTTGATAATTCATATTAAATTTATTAGTATATGTTTGTGATGAATTAGATATTGAATTTATAACATTTGTATATTCTACAGGAAATTTACTTTGAAAGTGAGCTCTATAAGTATTGAAATTCCCTTTTAAATCATGTTCATTTTGAGCTGGAAGTTTAATTAATAACTGAGTATAGAAAAAGTCTTCAGCATTTTTAATTGTTAAGTATTGAAATCGAATTAATGTTTCTTTTTTTCTTTTTACAATAATTCCATTACTTTTATCTCTCCAAAAATCTTTTCAAACAGGTTATTAGATATTTGTTTGAATTTTCTATAATACATTGGATAAGTTAGGTTATCAAATATTGGTCCTATAGGTCTTTCAAAATATTTGTCAATAGCATCCTGATAATATGGATCTGCAATTTGTTCATTAATTAATTGATAAACAGGACAGATTGCTTTACTTCGATAAGCAGGAGTAGATGATGGTAAATAATTTACAGCTATTGTTCTATGACAAACAGATTTTCCAAGTGATAGTAACATCAATTTTATTATTCCTATTCTAAGAGCATGAACATGTCTTCTAAGTGCATTTTGTTCTTTTAATTAAAACAATTCAGTTGTTTCTGGTATTGTTGCATATTTACACATATATTCAGCAAAAAATCTATCTGTTACAAATTGAATATTACAATAAGCTTGCCAAATATAAAGTGTAGGGCATGATATGGAACTACCCCATTGATCTTCTTGTTTAGCTCTTCTATATGTAAATTTTAATTCATTTGTATTATAATATGTTGAAATTGATAAAGGTTGAGGAAATCTGATTCGCATTGAGAACCTGAGGAAGGTGGTCCACCACAACAAATAGGATTACAATGGTGTATTTGATGTTTTTTTACTAAGTCATAAAGTTCTTTTTCACCATTTTCATTAGGGAGATCAGCTCTAATAACATTATTTGTAATTAATTCTTCAATTGGTTTATCAAGCCATGCTAACCCATTTGTATTTATTGCTCTTCAATTTTGAAATTCATCACGTTCAAAATGATGTAACCATTTTTCCCACTTGGTTAAATTTGAATTTTTCCAAATAATGATGAATTGATTTTAATTGATGTTGATAATGTTATAAACATGATATGGTCTATTTGTTGGAAGTGTATCTTTATTATCTGTTGCAATGAGAATTTTATGAAAATGCATCCAACTTCCTTCAGCCATTGTCATTGTATAGAAAATTTTTGGTAATCCAAAATTTTCTACCATAGTAATTAAATTTGATTCTTTTGACACCAATAAGTATTATCAGCATGAATAAATGAAGGAATTGCTGTAGTTTGTAATTTATCAATAACATTATTTCCTGAATAAGTACTTTTCTTTATTAAATCTACTATTGTTGGAAGGTATTCTTGATCTGCAGCTGATTGTCATAGTAACCTGATTCTATTTTGATGGTTTAGATATTTTTCTAAATTTAAATAAGAATAATGAGGCCAGTACCAATCTAATTGAAATCGAGAATCTGGATATTGCAAGTATAAATGAATATAATTGCCCATTGTATCAATATTTGGTCTATTATTACATGATAATTAAAGTCTGTATAATGACCTTTTCCTAAAGAAAATAACTCTGGAAATATTAAATGTTCTATATTTGGATCTGAAAATGAAATTGGCAAAGCAATATCATTATTACCAATTAAAAATCCAGCCATTAAACATATATATCCGAATTAAAATTTGTGTTTGAAATTATTATATCAGTAGGTTGTAAGTTATTTTGTATTGTATCGATATTATTCTCTGTAGCTGATAAAATTCTTGCAGTTGGAAATACTAGTGGTGGTCCATCAATATTGCCTTTATTATAAAAATGATTATATGTTTTGAAGAAATTATTGTTACAACGTAACCAAGAAGTTTCTGCTAATAAAGTAGGGTGATCCCAGTTTTGCACATTATTTTCTAATAAGGCACCAATTGTACCTGAATACAATGCTAAAGCATGTAAATTTTTTAAATAGTCAAATGATCCTTGCATATGTCGATAACATGTATACTGATTTGATCCAGGTGTACGACCTAAAGAACAACTCAAAATGATCATACAATTTTTTAAGTTTATTTGATGGCTTCCATGAATCAAATTCCGACGCAGCAATATATGATGTAATATAAATTTGTTCTGGAGCTCTTGAATGATTAAAATTTGCATCTGTTCGTGCCTCATGACTCGATAAGAATGTGACATCTAAGGATTCTGATTCAGCAAGTTTATTAAGTTCCATTATTTGAATTTGGTGAGTTATTGTTATTTTTTTATTAAATTAAAGTTACAGTAAATGTAAAAAAACAGAAACTATAATTTCAATAAAATAATATTGATTATATGAATTAGTTTTTTATACTGTTTTTAGAATGATAGTATATTGTTTCATCATGTTAATGATTTAATTAATGATATTATTGTATTTATTTTATATTAATAGTTTATATTTTAAAATATAATCATTTTATTGTAAAAATTCAAGAATAAAAGACAATAATAGATTTTTCATTGTCTTTCATATTGATTAATAATGGTACAATTTGTATTAGTAGTTTATATTTAAATTATTAATAATCTGAAAAAAAAATAAATATTGCTATTAACTAATATAATAATACATTTTTAATTTTTTTTTTTATTATTTTATGTTTTGAAATTATCGATACAATTTTCATGAATTTTGTTTTAATTACTATCAGTTAATTTCTTAAAAAATTATTATTTTGAAAATAATAAATTTTATTAAAGTTAAAGTAAAATAAGAATTTACAATTTATTTATTTATTAAAAACTTGAATGTTATTTAACTAGTATTCTTATTTTTTATTTCGTCATTCACTTAATTCTTCATTAATTTTTTCGATGCTACTCATTTGTTTTACTAATGAATGATTATTAATATTGTTATTAACATTATTTTCTAATTCCATAGTTGCTAAATCTCCAATGTTTTTCTTTCTAGGTGATTTTCTTACTGGTTTTGTTTTTTCTATTTCAAGATTTGCAGTAGGAATTTTTCTCTTTCTTCCAGACTTTACTTTCAATTCTGTTTATGGGGAGATTGATTATCAGATGTATCTTCAATAAAGGAAGATGCAAGTTGATTATCAAATAGACTTTCACAAGAAGGAGGTGTAGAAAGTTGAGGAGTTTGCTGTGTAAATGATGCATAGTATTTGTTTTGAGAAGAAAGATTTTGATAAGGAGCATGAGCAATTACTTGAGATTTTGTTTGTATGTTTTCATCTTCATCAGTAGAATTCTTTTTATTCTTGTTAACATGAGAAAATTGAATTGTCTTAGATGAGATTTCTTGTTTTCTTTGAGATTTTAAAAGATCCGTAAGATCAGGAGTTTCATTTACTTTGTTTGCACGATTTTGTTGATTTGTGATATTTGTCGATGTAAAATTTGAGTATGAATCAGTTGCACGAATTACAAATCTTGTAATTGAATTTTCCTCTTCTAATAAACCATCCAAAATTCCAGAAATCATGTACTGGTGATTTAATTGAATTTTTAAATTAATCCACCTTAACAATCTATGAGCGTATGCAACTAAAAAATAATGTGGAACATCTGCTGTTTTTGATATGCTACAATACAAAGCAGTTCTGATGCTGACATATTTCATTTCATTTCTTCAAAATTATTAGTGACAGGATATTTAACTTGTGGTACTCCATTGCTTAGTGTGCTTTCACAGATTGCTGAAAAAGAGACTGATGGTCATGTCTTAGGATAATTAATGACTGCCCATGAACCTGAATTTCTATTTGGATATTTAATTGCTTTGTTCACAGTTAACTAATTATAGCATAAAATTATTAATTTAATTTAAATATTAATATTTATAATAATATGTAAAAGTTCTTATTTCCTACATGCTACAATATTAGCAGTATTTTCAGAAACAATATCATAACAAAATTTTCCAGATATAAATACCATATCGCCTCTTCACATTCAGGTTGCCTTGATTCCGGAAATAATCAGTTGATAAATTCTACTGTTTTATTATTGGATGTTTGTATATGCAATTCTGGTTACTGAACCAGAAGTAAATGTTCCTTTTTGCAAACTTATGTATGCTATAACTTCAAATGTTGTAAACATGTTATCAGGAAAAGTTAATATGCCTTTTTAAAAAAATTAAATTCATATTTCATTTATAATTTACACATAATTTTTTTTTAATATAGTTAATAAGTTTTCTTAGTTATTTTCATTATCAAAAGAAGTTTACATGAAAAGATTTATTTATTATTTACACAAAACAATGTTCGATTATATTATTCTTTAATTTCTTATTATACAATAAAGAATTAGTAATTTCAATACAATCATGTTATTGTTATAAAATTATTTTAGCTAGTTTCATTTTAATCACACAAAAAAATTGATTTATCAATGTTTAACTTTTTTATTTTTTTATTAAACTAGCTAAAATAGATTTGTAACAATAATTTAATTGTGTTGAAATTATTAATTCTTTATTACATAAGAAATCAAAGAATATCAATAAGAGTATATAATTTTTTATATTACATAAGAAACAAATTTGTATTGTGTTACAACTTTTAAATAATTAAACAATAAAGCATTGTCTTTAATAGAAATAAAAAAAAATAAGCATTGTGTTAAGATTACTAAATTAATTCTTTATTATATAAAAATTAAACATTAATACTAGCACTAGTGTATAATTTTTTTTTATATTATATAAGAAATAAAATTGTATTACACACATTATACTATTGTGGTGACAATGAAGGATTGGTAAGATGGTACAAAGATGGCAGTGCAGAAAACATGTGGTGTGGAAACACAAATGATGAGAATGATGAAGTACAAATGATAAGAAGGATGAAGTTGCATGATGGTGAGAATGACGGAGTTGCATGATGATGAGAATGATGATGAAGTTAAAATGATGGGAATGATGGAAGGAAGGAAAAAATGATAAGAGAGAAATATAAAATTAGCAGTAGTAAAGAAAGAAAAGAGAGTTCCTTTTTGCAGCATTTTCTTAAGAAATTAATAACACTTTAATCTTTTATTTTTATCTTTTTCTTT